GAGCGCTTTGTTTTGCCATCTAATGATGAACTCACTGTATGTTTAGCTGGTGCAACTGTATTTTCCAAGCTAGATTTGAAATGTGCATTTTCCCATATGCCATTGGCCGATGAATCCAAACAGCTAACTGCCTTTCTTGCTCCTGATGGCCTCTTTCAGAACAAAGTCTTACCCATGGGTTTGAGTTCCGCGCCCGCCGCCTGGCAAAACTTCATGACTCACGCCCTGGCAGGTATCAATGGGTAGGTTACCTACATGGATGATATTTGTGTTTTCGGCCGCTCACAGGAAGGACATGATGAAAGGCTACACAAAGTCCTCCAGCGCCTCAGTGATTTCAATTTACGTCTGAACGCTTGCTGACTCATTCCTAGCATACTATTGGTCGTGTGTCTGCCGCTTGACTCTCCGTTTAACAAGGGATTGACTCACTTGTACTTGGTTAATTTGCGAGATACATTTTTACCTTCCCTACGGCTTTCTTGATACAACATCAACTAATAGGGGTTCAAGCTAAACCAGTCAGTATGACGCATCTCGTCCGTCACCGAAACTCCGTACACTACAGTGAACCGCGGTTACTTCAGGTAACACTTCAGTCAGGTAATGATGCAGATACAGTTCTCTTGTCATCCGCTCGCCTCCGTACCACCACATGCACTGTTCAAATATTTCCAAACGTTCCTTAGAGCGAACACCAGAAACGCAAACAAAATCCGGATGACTTCTGTAAACAACAAGACGCAAAAACTATCCTTTTTCACGGTGTCTCTAAGCTCCAGTCACTAAGCGAGCTGGAGGTCAAAGCGCATAACTGGGATGAATGGCGTTTTATTCGTGAAGTACTCTCACTCGAGAATGTTATCGCTAATTCGACATCAAGGTTACCGCTATCACCTAACTACATTGTGTGGTCCCCGAGGGATGAAAGTATCATTACACTCCGAACTGATGGTAGAACACGCGATCAAAATGTGGCATAAAAAGCCTAAAATGCCGCCATCCAAAACACATATAAAGTCAATAGACACCGGGCCACAGATAGATAATGTAACACTGAGCAAGCAAGTTACCAATACAATTCTGTCACCGTGCAGCTCAGAACGGAGACAATTCCAAAACACACCGGCAGCTGAAAGAGGACAGGATGGTCATCCTCTTGTTGGCGCTGAGAGCTCTATACAACAATCTGAACTGGACCTAGGGCCTGAGTCATCGGTCCTACAAAAAACGACTGGCAGCCGACCCCGCAATGTGTCGGCATAGACCCTAACCGGAAACCAGCAATCACACACATACTTCTGACCACCGATGCCCTCAGCTGCTTGTACACCAATGCACAAGGTCTTCTAAGCAGGCTAACCGAACTTCGTATGCGTCAGATCTCCAAGCCTTGGGACCTAGTTATGGTCACCGAAACATGGCTGAACACGGAGATCACGGATTCTGTGATCGCACTACCCGGTATGAATTCCATTCGAAACGATCGACCTAGCAGAGGAGGCAGTGCTCCTGTATTATCAATCCGACCTGCATGTTGATATCATTGAGGACCCAGAAACGCAAGTCCTCGACGCTCGTTGGTCTCGTATGCACTTAAGACGTGGTGATGTGTGTTTACTAGTAATAGTCTACCGCCCTCCAATGTCCACCTTTTAAATGGATCAATGCCTAGCTTCTGCGATGAAACGAGTCCTGGCACGACCATACATTCACGTCCTTTTGATGGGGGACTTCAATCTGCACGCAATCGAAGTTCCAGCATCGCACTGCGAATAATTCAAGGCGGATTTGATAGTGGAGATCGCCGATGTACTCTGTACAACCATGTCACCTCTCCCACGCGATTCCGAACGGGTGACACACCCTCTGTTTTGGACCTTGTACTCTCCAACGAGGAACTAATGGTCGACACCGTGACCCTAGCTGTACCACTTGGCCGTAGCGATCGCGCGATGTTGCTCTTTCGTTACAGTTTTTACTCGGAGTACATCAGTGAGAACAACATGGGAACCTACGTTGTTGCACATTACGATAAACTGTTCAACTTCGTTCAAGAAACCGACTTGTCCTTCCTGGCTGAGAAGCCGCCCAATGTCGCCTGGATATTGTTCGTCACCCAATTCATTGAGCTAGTGGCAAATGTGTCAGAAAGCAGAGTCCTTCACCCGAAGCAAGTGAATTCGTTCCTGTGGAGCCGTACTAGAAAAAGCATGTGCTTAAGGGATTCAGCCAGGCGCGTTTACGAAGCCTGTCCAAGTAACCTGACTTGGGGTGGTTACACAACTCAACGAAATCACTGCGTCATGTTGATTCTCGGAAACAAACTCCAGCACCAAGAGAACCGCGTCAAAATTCAGTACAAATCCCAACTTGCTTTATAGACCTGTCAACAAGCTCCGCAGAGTGCAGCGCGGGATCCCGGTTTTACGTGCAACAAATGGTCTTGCACAAACCGCACAAGATGTACCCAACGTGCTTCGCCAACACTTCATCCATACTTTTCGGAATGAACCATCATTTCATCCGCTTTTTACACAGTTTCCATCGACACCAGGTTTAAACCACGTATTGTTCACGGCAGCAAATGTGATGTAAACGCTAATGTCATTGCACGTGCACAGCTCACCTGACGTATCCGACATCAAACGGAAGGCCTTGAAGCCAGCGGTCATGAACCTTGCCGAACCATTATCTCGGTTCTTTCAACGTTGTCTCGACGAAATGCAGGTTCCGAAAATGTGGAAACTTGGATTAGTCACTCCCATTTACAAAAGCGGTGATCGTTCGGAGCCCTCGAACTACCGTCCAATCATTCTCCTCCCAGTTTTATCCAAAGTAATGGAACGTATAATTGCAGAGGCGCTCATTGGATATCTTGGCAGCAACATCCTAGTGTCACAGCAACACAGATTCCGCCGAAATTGTTCCCACACTACAAACTTGCTGCTAGCCCGAGCAAGCTGGACAGAATCAGCCGATGTCAGAGTAGGAGTCGAGGTCTTCTACCTGGACTTCTCGAAAGCGTTCGATCATTTGGACCACCGCATTCTCCTTCACAAGCTTCGAAGCTATGGAATCGGTGACCCTATACTCGGTTGGAACGGCAACTTCCTAGTTCAACGTCAACTGAATGTGAGAGTCCGCAGCTCCATTTCCGACCCAATTGACGTTCAGTGTAGCATGCCTCAAGCATCCGTACTGGGACCACGTTTATTCCTCACATTCATTAACGATCTTGGCAGTGTACTGCAGTCGAATTTCTTACTATTTGCAGTTGATGTCAAAATCTGACATGATATCAGCACATCGAATGATCACATGGCATTGCAGAGCGATTTCGACAGGGCTTATGCGTGGTCATCCGACAACCGGCTCCAGTTCAACGTGACCAAGTGCAAAGTCGTAAGCATACGCCATCAGCCTATCTATGAATATCGACTTGAGGACCAGCAGTTACAACGTGATTCCCAAGAAAACGACCTCGGGGTGATCGTGCAGGACGACCTCGGTTGCTTGAGACAGGCTGAAAAGGTATCAAAAAGAGCCAGTCAACATCTTGGACTCTTACGGAGGGCTTCCGGTAATTTTGAGCCATCAATCATTCCGCAAATGCTGAACGTCTAGGTGAGGCCTCACTTGGAATATGCGATCCAGGTATGGCGTCCCTGGCGCAGGCATGACGTCGATGCACTTGAAGCTCGCAAAGTAGAGCGACCAAACTCGCTAGAGGATTGTTTCATCTCTCCTACCAACACAGACTGCAGTCCCTGAGATTGTACAGTGATGAATATCCACGTCAGCGAGGAGACCTAATCCTGGTTTACTTAATACTGATGAACCCAACTCACCCATGTCGTAATCTGTCTCAGTTGAGCCAAAATACCAACCTAAAAGGTCATCAGCTCAAACTGGCTACTCACTACAGTTGACTTGATTGTCGACGAAGCGTTTTCTCCCTCCTTGTGTCCCGTGCCTAGGAGCCCCTTCCGACTCACGTTATCCTTGCCCCAACATTAACGCTTTTCAAAAAATGCCTTGATGAAACTCTTTCAAACTTGCATTACTTGCTATAGTCCGGTTTACTTGGAGGACGAAATAACGCAAACTTAATCAAGTGCTTAACGGCCCTCTTCAAAACGTAGCTGGGAGGATACATGCAGTAGTGTCCATGTGATTAGCCTGGATGTAGCTAAACTGGATTAACCTATCACATCTGTCAAATGAAGAAACAAAGGAGGGAGCGTTGTCATTTCCTTTTTTATTTCTCACACACTTACTGAATTATAACAGCTCTCTATACTATTTTGCGTGTGCACATCCCATTCTCACTAAAAACTATCGTTATGCACTAGTACAGTTAACTAGGTGGATGCTTGAAATAACAATTTACTTATTCGATGATCCTTCAAATTTTAATTTTTCCTCTAACCATCCTACGGAAAGTGTCAAGTATATGCTTTTGTACCCGTGATAAATCATTGTTCATCATTCAAGTGCATGAACAAGTATAATCATTTTCAACTGCGGACGCAAGTTTTCACATGATAAGAAGCATATCCACCATTTGTATTATTAATAGTTTGGTTAATCTTGTTATCACCATAACGTTTTCCAGACACTGTGACAAGCCATTGTCTCCAAAATAATTGACTTTGGATACACACTGCACCGCTTCAAGACTACGAACTTTCCCTCTCGATACTTTGTAATATCTACCTCTAACTACTGAAACAACCTAGGAGAACGATGGTGGCAAAGTGTGGTAAGTGTTAGCAGCTGCACGTAAATCTACTTTGCGCTCGCATTCAAATTATAACCGACGATGCAAGCTTGATTTGGTGGTCACCTACTTGATTCCTACCGTGACATCTCCATAGATGTCTTTAATATGCTCTACCGACAGGCCAACAGCATCTGGCCTGTCACTGTATGTTGTAAAACACGTTGTGGTACTGGCTGATGTCGTAAAATTTCTCCCTGTCGTCTTCGCATTTCAGAGCATGGCAACTATTTTTGATCATTGCTGAAACCCGAAGAGCCTACAAACACAACCTGAATTTAGTTGCTTGTGACCACTGGCGTCTTCAAAAACAATTGACTATCTTCCTCAGATGGAGGGATTGGACTAGGTGGGCTGTTAATAGAAAAGAACGTAAGTCAACACACATCTCTCACGCTGTGACCTCCAGCGAATCCCATTTGTTGCATTGTCTAACACAGAGTAGTCGATTAGCTGATCAAGTCTGGTGCGCAAGTATATTTGCACTGGAAAAAATCACTTCTCTCAGTAGGTCCAAACAGAACATCTTACGACGCATAACACCATATTTTGCATCTTCATAAACACGTACATGTAGCCAATGATACTTTCGAGCAGGACAAAGTCACGTGAGATCGATTGGTGGCGTAGTGGGGCGCTGCATGCTATCGCTGTGGGATCAGTGTCACAGTTAACTGTGACCGTGGTCACTAACAAAGGCTTTTAGTTATGCATGAGGATTGTAAGTGATGCGTCAGGTTGACATGGTCACTTATTCACTAAATACTAAGTGGTTATTGAAAAGACTTGCTTCTTTATTCGTACGGCAAAACCGAAATATTGACTTGTGTTGTGGATTAAAAGCACGGGTAATTTTTAACTCAAAACCGATTCAAGACTGGGGATACTATCGGGTAAAGTAGTTTATTCCAAGAATCCCAATGAGGTTAAGCTGGCAACCATGCAGCCTATTAGTTGAACCACCCATTGTAATGCTGAAAAGTCTTATCACTTTGAAGGCTGTATGGGACCAAAACTGACCTAAAGGCCTCGTTGGTATAATCGACCATTACGTGACAACGCAATATGGGGGTCGAGGTACTGAGTTGTCAAATAGAATGTTACTGGGTGAAATTTCATTCGGCTTATATTTGCCCGGTAACCGAGCAGGACGATCCGACGCTGTTCCCCATGACCTAATACCATAAACTTGTGACTGGCGGTGCAAGCCGCTGGTGTCCATGGGTTCGAATCCTGATGGATGCCCAACAAGTTAAGACGGCAGCCTAGTGCTTTTCCGGACATACGGAGGACTATCTGACTTGAAAGTTGGTGCGAAGATTCCTCAATTAACTAAACTACCTTTTCAAAGTGAAAAAAATCCAAATTTCTTCCACTTACTATACAGTCACAGTGAATTATTTATGGTTCAGATTTAATTGTACTTCGCCTCGCGAAGGCATAACCTATACTAAACACGCTGAACGCTCTTTGCATCCTATGGTGCTGATTCGAAGTAATAGTGCCGCAGAGTCAATAACCACAGACTCGTTGTGCATATACAATTGTCGCAACTTAAGCGATGCACCAAAATCGCAAGACGTTACTCCGGCTAGCACTTGTGTAAACCAAGGGGCCTTTGGTTAAAGAGACGAATGAATCGCTGATCTGAAAAAATTGCTTAACCATGAAAAATTGTACACAACATTTGTTTGAACTCTGCTATTTTCCATTGCAAAACTAATCCCCCAAACCTGTTCATCTGCAAAGTCAGGGATAGACATCTCCTGAATGTTATGATGCACAGCGAAAAGTGATTCATTGTGTAATTCAACCGTAAACTCAGTTGTATCAGCTGCTGTCGAGGTCTGAAATTCTAAGCATGTCATGGTAGCGGCTGTGTAACCGTTATACACAAATTCTGTATAAATACGAAGCCCCTGCCTAGTACAATTCTTGGGATTCCCTGACTGACTGGGTTCACCCTGGAAGAATCTCAAGTTAATCATTCATAGACCCATATTTTCATCATTTGTTGAAAACGCTGCACCCTGCTAAGTTGGAAAATTTCATAATATTAAGTTAGATACTGTTAAGTCTTGAAGTGACACACGGTTTATACGGTACACAATCAAAACGGGTTCTGGTGTCCGCAGGTATGCTGGATGTGACCTACTGACATACACTTCAGTGCGGCTATAGTTACCAAATCCATATTAAATTGTGGTGCTTCGATTGGTTGCTTATAGTGGAGTATTTCCTGAAGTACGATTGTAGAGCGGCTGCTTCCAAGAATGCCTCGAGTGAGCCCTTCGGAGCGAGCTGAGAGCGGATCGAGAAGGACGGCTAGCGACGAGCTTGGGCCCGGAACTACGGAGCGGGAATATGTGGACAGCGCAATAAATCAGACATATACGCCGCTAGCGCAGCCCACAGGACCGAGGCCGAGCCGATTGACACAGCCCAGACCAAGCAAGTCGAGAGCACTCGAACGACTCCTGGCCGATCCAAATCGGGTAGAGAGAAGTGGAGATCGAGGCGAAAACAGGAAGGCGGGTCTTCCAAGTCAGAGCTCCCGAGGCGAAAGGACTGGCTCGTTTCTAACATCCGTACCTGTGTTGCGTTGTGGGACGGAAATCTAGTCGATATGCGATGGCGCGCGTGAGACCCTCATGTGCCCATTTTCGGTGTGCAATAAACGTCTACCCCCCTGTCGTGTCGTTTTCGCTACACGATGACCGATATCTCAGCAAAGAGCGAGTTACTCTCTATTGCATCTCGTTGCTCACGCACTATAGTCCTTCGCGTCGGACGCACAGTGGAAACGTCAAGCACTGTCTCTAATGTTTGACATAAGGACCATTTGCCAGGGTTTAACACTGAGATGATCAAATATAATTTATCGACTTAATATAATTCGCAGAATTTGGCGTATATGTTAAGAGTAGAAGGAGCGACTTTTCTAGAAAGTATGGATTACTGGATCAGGCTTACAGTGCTGAAACGCGGGCAGTAGATTGCCAAGGAGACAGTTAAGAGTTCTTTGTAGCAGCTTCCAAATCAAAATCGTTCACACACCCAAAAATGCCATAGATGGTCGTTTCGTCCCGTTGGATCCATCAGGATCCCAATCCACGCCCATTAGTAGTGGTTTGCAGAGTCAGTCAACAGCTTATGCCAAGAGGCCCGAGGAGAGGGAGATAAACCGTCATGATTTACATGTTGTCTACAAGGTTAGCTGGTTCAACAACTGCCGCGAGTAACCCCCAATTGCTTAGCTAAATATCCCACAGTCATGAGTTTATCAAATAGTGCCTTAGTTCTACTAGACAATCCGGTTCACTGTATAGCAATCAGTAGAGAACGAGCTATGATACATTGTAGCTATTTAATCTATTCTGGATTTTTTTCGCCGTCACTCACAATCAAGCAATTTGGGTTGCTAGCTTTTTATGGAATATCCATGGATTGCAATCACATAGGAATCGAGAGAGTTAGACCAGCGACCCGTTGCTGTTTCAAATGTGCTTTGGTTGTCAAAGCCTCAAGTTGTGGTGGGTCTTCTTGAAATAAGATGAAGCATTGCCAGATTGCTACTAAATGGAAGGATTAATGCGAATTGGATCCTTTCCAAAAAACAGAATGAGATTGACCATGTCCATAAATAGGAAGCTATATTGTCCAAAAAAAACATAGGACCCGAAGGTATAAACACCGTTTGTATCAGACATCTACACTTAAGCTCAATTGCACTTTAGGAAATATATTTTATTCAAGAAAGTGTTGCGGGAACGTCAAGTAACTTCGCAAATGCGTTTCCATCTCTTTTTCAGTCGCGAGTACACTTCTACGCAATGTGCTTAACCAACTAACTGCAAAAATGGCCTTATACTTTTGGAAGCTTGTCGCCATGAGAGCCCGTCAGATTCGTGAGCTCAATTCGGTAAGTGTAAAATAGCGCGTTGGGAAATATTAATCAAAGTAACTACTGCGAACAGCGAATGGATATGCCATGCCGTCAGGCATCAGCTTTTATTAAATAATAATCCATACCTTTTTGATCATTTATAAACATCAGAAATACTATGAAGCCTACCGATGTATTTGCTTTCTCTAAATCACTGAAACCATGTTTTGTAATAGTATTCGAAAGGATCTCGGTTCAATTGAGTAATCGAACTTTCTTTCTGAGTCTTTCACTTGGGAGGTGATTGGAAAATCTATCGTGCTTTGCGTCGTGAAGTGTTCTAGTGAGCGGAATAGCTTTGATAGTAAATACTGCATAAGATCGGCCGATAGCAGAAAGGATTGCAAACTATAGAGAATACCTGTAGCTCGGGATGTGGATGAGAGGATTGTTGTGTTCTCCGAGCTAGGCACTTTTGTTGCAGTCATTTCGTTGTCAAACTAGGCAAAATTCTTAGTGCGACTATAGTGGTCCAATTTGCAGTCTTGTAAGCCACTGCCAGATCCAAGGATTGCGTGCCTGGCTTGCGTAGAGGCGGGCGTCCTCGCCGTATACTCAGCCCACGCGTGACCAGTGGTGGTCACGTGGCGGCGAAGCATCGGTACAGTGGGCCGGCATACTGCTGATGACATGCATTTCCTCTTTCTTACTGCATAGGATCCCGGAATGTTGCAAGGGCAGCTGCCGAGATTTTCAGCATCATTGAAATACGATGTTCAGAACCAACTTTTGCGCATGGTTGGAATAGACCAGTGTCCAAATGCTGATTAGCCTTCGCTCAATTTATCCTGCGTGTAACGGACACGTGGATGAGAGTTATGTACGAGTTAACGATGGGGTAGCCCTACTTGCAGATAGTGATGTTCATGCAATTGAAGATAATACATTTCGCCATCCGTGAGGTTGTCTATTACTAAGACTCCTCTTGCAGTTACCTCCATGTGGAAGTATACATCTATCTACGATCATCCGTCACGAAGCACGAATTCATTCAGGACTCTTCTTGTAGACTCCTGAAGGAGTCACCTATCTTTATAATTCCATTTAGACATGCAGCTTAAAACCAAGTCACTCTGGAAGTAAATGAGGAGTGGTCAAGCTGGATCAAATTGCTTAGCGGCTGTTCGCAACGTGATTCATAAGCCCTTTGAGCGTATTCGCGTCTGGTTTCTTCAGTGTTCACCGAAGAAATTCAATTATGTTGAATTTACTGATTTAAAACTTCCAAAGTTTGGCACGTCTCAAGTTTGGGAAGGAGGTAGAAATAGTACGCGGGAGCATTCTCAGAATTGTTATGTTTTTCGCCAGGTTTGGGGATTATGTTTGCCAGTTGCGACCCAAAAACAGCGGAGGAGATCACCGTACGCAAGCAACTGGTCAAATTATTGGGGTACGCATTTCAACACCGTTACATGCATTAACCCCTACCACAGGACATGACCGCGTATCAGAACCAAATTACTTTGTAATGCAGTCAAGATTCGGACGAGATTTTTAGCAAGGTTTGGCAGTTTGTACCTTTAACTAAGCCTCGTTACGCCTACGGCCGCCTTTCATTATAATTCATTAGAGCAAAATGTGTACGAACTAGTTCTCTGAGTTCTGCCTGATCTCGAAGCTAAGGGCCAGTGTTGAAATTTACTGGTTAGTAGGAGAGGCAACAAAGGCGGAAAAAGTTGGGTAAATGCTGTTTCAGCTCCTCAGAATCACCGGCTCCGAGTGCTCTCATTAACTGCCGCAATCAGTGGGAAGGATTAGAAGCGAATGCATCCGCTGACATACCGCCTCTGGTCTCTGTCCAGCTGTTGTTCCCCATGACTCCGTGGCTTAAGCTGTGGGCTAATGTTGCAATCCACTAGCGGTCACGGGCTCGGTTGCTTGAGGTGCACCGACAAAGTGCGCACCCGTCCAGCGAGGACGAGATAGCCTGCTAGTGTGTTTCTAGATCGGTAGTTCATCTATCTGGTTTGTAATTTATTTGAGATAAACTAAAATAAAATCTGGTTGTCAATGTGCCCGAACATTCGTACTATGTGATCGACCAGTTCACTTGCATACGGAGTCCCCTCGTCTCCGGCTGTCTCCGTAGATTTACGGTCATGTGGGAACGCGATGCATGGTGTTAGCATACCGGCTAAAAGTAAGGCGAATAGCGCTGCATGGCGACCGGTATGACTGAAAGTATCGGTCGCAGGAGGCGTTTACGCCGATCATGGAATTTCGACTAGAATTTACTAGTTTGAAGAAATGCTCGTTGTTCCTGCATGCTGCACCCTGCTACACATCAACGCACCGTTGATTTTACTCCGATTTGGGACGAAACGTTTATGATGGAATTCCTAGGCACAGTAAAATGTTCTACTGCCAAAATGTCGTAACGCCTGCTTTGAGGGTCATTTTAAAGCGCTCTTTGTGTGAATAGGTTACGACACGCAATCTCAATGTGGACTGCGATTCGTATTCAAGTGAGCCTTAATCAATTCGCTCGTTGGGACCGTCACTGGCGAAGTAGATGAATATCTGATGTTACTCGCTGCAATGTATCGGTTCGTGGAGACTGTGATCCCCACGGAACAGTTGCTGGGGTACTTCGGATTGACAAGGTCCGTGAGGCTTATTGGCTTAAAAGTTTTCCACTTCAATATATCGAGACGAACATGGACCTCCACGGCTACCTTCAACACCAAGAGGAGAAAATATAGAGACCTTTAGCCAAAGTGATTATGTAGCATAACCAAATGGGACACATGGTTTGTACGGCTACCCTCGTTATCGGAGAGTGGAATGCCCGTCACCTGCTAATGGTAACGAAGATGACTAGCATGTTGAGGCACTTGTTACCCGGAAACGATATCAAAGAGGGGATCAGGTACTCATACGTAACAACACTGTCTCTGGGGTGAGAAAGTTGACAACTGTTATCTGATTATATTTTCATACGTGACGCTGCCTGGACGTTCGACGGCAACAATGTGGCGAAGTTGGAGTTAGAGTAGAGGAATGCGGTGCAAGAATTTTGTGAAACCCTAATGTCCACACAGCGGAAACAAAGCAAATGGTGAGAACGAGCTGGTCCATACCGATCCTCCAGATGCATTCATAGTCTACACTACTCGAATGTTAAGACACTGTCTTCGGTATGATAGCGAAGAGAGGTCGTCCATAAAGAATATAAGGAAATTTTTATTCCTTACTTCAACGAGTGTGTTTCCGTGAAATGACAAATAACACTTCACTGATATTGTTTGCATTCGCTGGCTCAGTTTGTCTGATGGTACACTAAATTAATAAGTATAGATGGTAATTTTCCAATATTTTATTCAAGCTGAGTGAAGGTTTCAATTTTTTGTCAGATTGATAAGCCTCCGGTGACAATTTGTTTGATTGTTCTCAAGTATTGTTAGCGGCTGAATGATCTTCCATTCCAGGTGGCGGCTAGAGTTTTGGCTGCACTTTCTTGTCGAATATCAGTTTTATGGGAATTCAGAGTAGCAAAGTGATGCTCAATTTTGTTTTTGTTCAATGTAAGTGTAAACAGATGTAGGTTCCATTATAGCGCGTTATGGTGATTTAAATCGGTCAGATCTACTGTAAAATGCCAGATAACTTTAAGCGTATCCACATGAGACACAGACTAGTGGGACCATACAAGAAAGTGAAAAAATGATGGCAGATTTGAAAGAGGAAGAATTGGTCATCCCTTCTTTCAGTGCACACAAGTAACATATGTGTCCACTTGGAGAGTACGGAGCACAGTAACAGCGACGGGGCCTAAGATGTAATACAAAGTGGTATGAAAAATGGACAATTAAGCAACAACGGTATGAAGTAGCGCAGCGAAGGACTCTCTTGGAAACTGCCAGTACTCGGGATTTACAACCTGTGAAACATAGACTGTTGCTCTGTTAGAAAGATCGGTAACATCCGAGGTTATGAATCGTTGAAAGATTGAATATTTCTGGATCATTACACTACCCCGGAGATTGGCATTGCCGGGTGAGAGTAAAATGGAAGAGGAGGATAGAGACTGTAAACGTGCATTCGTACTATACAAGAGCATGGTTGCTCCTGCACACCTTCGTCCGTGCAGCTACAGACACCGTTTCTATAATCATGAAAAGCAAACGTATCATATTTAAGATTCTTGTTGTAATTATTATTACTTCCTTCTTCTTCTTCTTCACATGCATATCATTATATGCTAAACAATGGATCGGGTAGAATTGTGTTTGATCGCTTACACCAGTCTTCTTAAAGGACAGCCAACGAATTCGATCTCGTTTTGTGCAGTTAAGAAGACACTGCAGGCGTCTGTTCCATCTGTTAATTTGTTACAGTCTCATGCGTGTTTGTTACAGAAGAACTATTCTCGGATCTTAATGTCCTCCAATCACATTGCACCAATATGATTTCCTTGTTCCATGTGTTGTACTCTTCGTACTTATTTTAAGGATCCGATTTGCAAGCGGAATTATTATTCTCAAACGTAGCTAATGCCATGTGCATTCGTTCGGACAAGCGAGACGTCTACTCATCTTCAGCATCCCTGTTGGAGGTTGCATGTTGCGGGTTTGCTTCTGTCTTTGGTTTGTATGATACGCATTCCTTGCGCGTCCATTTCTCGCCCGCATACAACTGCGGTTTTAAAGCGTTCCTTTCCTTCGGGGCAGCCATTACGGCATGCTGTTGGATAGTTGCCGTTTCGTATCCTGGCATTTCCACGCTACTGTTAGCATCATCATCAACAACAGCAGTACATCAGCCATTTGAACTGATGCTTCGCTGCCATACAACCAAGAAGGCCTATGAAATAAAAAATAATAAGAAGGAGAGAAGGGAAACTTACCTGAAAACCTTAATGCCCTAGGAAAACATTCAGATTCAAGGCGGCTGCACCTTGTGTAGACAACATACCGTCACAAACAGCTGGCTATCGTGCAAAGATAAGGCGGCATCGGCGAGACAGCTTCCTTGCGGCTTTCACTGCCCTGCGTCATAATCAGCCATTACCCCGCAGACAACTTAACACGAAACACACTTTGAACAGGCAATCCGATTAGGAGACGGCAACAGACGCGCCACTGGTGTCGGTTGCGAGCCATGTCCTGTAAAGTCTCGAGCCAAGCACAAGGTGAGTCACGTGGACTCCAGTCCGGAAGGCGAGACGGACCAACGGCACCCAGTTTGGTCGTCAGTGACTTCATTTCCCCGCTGCCAAGTCAACTTCTGTCCACCTCGAGCCTTGCGCCACCCTACACCTGGCAGACTAAACATGGTCCTCCTAGGTAAACGGTGACCAGGCAAACGTAGCACGTGCCCGAGCCAATGCAACTTATTTAGTGCTATCTGTTGTTCTAGGGAGCTAGCATGATTTTCACAACCTAGTACTCGCCTACGCACATCATTGGTGCGGACACGCTGGTGCCATCCGACTCCAGCAATGCTTCTCAGACAACGATGATCAAAGACATGAAGACGCCTCAGGTCTTCAGACCGAACGGGCCAAGTCTCACTACCATAGGGCAGAACGGCCCTCACTGTGGCCTTGTATACACGGCCTTTCAGATGGACGGCAATCCCCTTCTGTCATCAAAGATGCCGCAGGTTCAAGAAGGCAGTTCTAGACTTAGCAGTGCGTGAGCTGACTTCAGTTTCTATGCGCCCATCGTTGCTGATACAGCTGCCGAGATAAGTGAATAGATCAACCACCGCGAGTTCTTCGTTAACAAGCGTCAAAGGATCAACAATTGGCTGGTGGTCCTGCAGCCACACTTTGCACTTTCAAGATGCGAAGTGCATACCAAATAATGGGACCACTCTAGACAGGCTATTCAGGGTGAAGTAGTGTCTGTTTTTATACACCACAAATGAGGTTTGAATATTTGCGCGTATTTGGGTAGAATTTGGACCAAGCGCGTTTAGTGAAAGACGTTTCAGTTACTATAATTCAATGCCGTTGCGGTCATTTGTGTTACTGCACACGATTGAGCGGTGTTTTGACATGGAGCGAAAAAGTGACTTATGGGTATAGAAGTTGGCCTCTTTGACAGCAATAGTTCTAAACATCATTCCGATGTTTGGCCTAGTTCTTGTAGTAAGAGCATACTTCTTCCGAGAAGCTGGGGGAGCCAGTCACAATTCTTTCACGAAATGACATACATTAACTGGCCTACCATCGAGAGTCTGAACTCTAGATGTTGCACCGTATTCGTAAGACGTTGCGGAATATTTTTGTATCCTGAATGAGTTTCCTGTTCTGAGCACAATGTTTCTAGTTCTGATGGTCATACTGCACCTTGTCAACTACTTCAGTGAGGATGGCAGGGCGGGAAACTTACACACGAGTTTTATGCCGTCTGCAAAACTAATGGTGGGCCGAAGTTTACCACACCTAAGCGATCGTTAACACACAGTAGAAACAGTATTAGACGGAAGACACTGTGTTGCACCATACATGTTGCAGAAGCTGTTGGACTAGAACTTTGTTCTTCTATCTATTTCACTCATGTGCAAATGGTAATTTACGACCTTGATCACGATCCTAGGGGTGCTCTGCTTCCATATCCTCGCATTTTGGACGTTAATTTTCCATGATGCCTGATCAAATTTACTTTATCGCCTAATATTGAAAATCCCTTCGGCTCGCTACCACAAAGTTTCTTATCTTCTTTTAGAAAGTCTGACTCGTATTATCCTTTGTGTTCCTTGCAACTTTACGTTGTATTTTCCATATGTGTTTATTTTTGTTCGTCGCAATCAGATATGTTGACCAGCTATCCGGAAAAGCACCAGACGGACGTTTCGCTCTATTGGGGCTCATCAGTGGTGCGCATCCTTCCACTCATAAGTAATACCAATTCGCCCTTACGGATTCCACAAAACGCTATGTCGATTCATAGCTGCCGTAACCTGGAAGTCCTGACGCCAGAAGGCCGGCCGCTGTCATCTGCATGGCAGGTGTCTGCATGGCAGTGGAGGATGGGTCGGGCTATATCGCATTTAGCTAACAATTCGTGATGGTCGGATACCGTCCTCCATGGCGCAGTTGCATAAGCTGCGGGCTAGTTGGCAAGAGCCACTAGCAGTCATGGGCCGACATATCTGAATTTTCGGCTGATTGCGACGGAAAAAATACTCACCAAAATCCTTCCACTCATAAGTAATATGTGTTTATTGTTTAAGCGATGTTGTACATGGTGGCAGGGCCGACTTCACGTTGGTCCCCGGAGTAAATCAATCCTATCGAACTGAGATAAGCGATATTAATCCCGATCTCACATGAAGAGTATCACAAGTTCTAGTCTTTCGATAGGTATCAAAAACATCACTTGTTAACTGATCCTTAAAAGCTGAGTCTATGATCTGGTAATTTTCTGTTGTTAGCTATCTGTAATGAATCTTTTTTTAATTTAGGAGCATCGCATTGTGTTCCCTTCTAACTCCTGAACTATTCGTGACATTGTCTTCACAGTTTGCTGGTGATATTTCAAAGTTCGTTCGTTCCCGTATCGCAGAAAGCATTTGCACTTTCTGTTTAGGGACTTATAGGAGACAATGTACACCCGAAGGACGACGCAACCATGGATGAAGATGTATCGGATTATGAATTTGGCAAAACAGAAGCGTTCCATGTTACTGAAAAGCATAAGGACCCGATAAAATCTCTACCAAATTTCATTCAGCGAAAAGTAAGTTCAGGTTACTTCACCGGACCTAGCGTTGAAGTGGCGTGCTTCCACAGGCTTAGCGAGCTTCATTGTTAGAAGAGGTCAATGTCTACTCTACACTAATCCACTAAAGTACAGTTGACCTCACGGTGTGCTCACCTCCAACTTAGGGTAAGCAGTTTTACTGTCCACGCAGATAATATTTGACCAAGTAGACTTTCTTACCATTTGTCATTGAATACCGTACCTCAGTTAAACAACAATGTCACCATTTCCTTTGACAAACCAAAAATTTTGCTTGAATAGGCGCTTAGCACTACGTTCCCACTACTTCGCTAAACTCCGCACATTCCCCATGATATCCAAGTAAACTAAGCTTGCATACTGTATACCTAGACCTTGCAATCAATGCATGCCCATAGGTTTGATCTAAACGATTCCTTTACACAACCTGGTAAAGATTTATTGTCTTGAGGAAAACGGGCACAATTTAGCAGGTCCCATTGCAGATGCACCTGCACTTGTTCATCATATTTGTACTGGCCTGGTGCACTAGGGGGCTTGAAATATTATCAACTGTTCTTTGCAAACATAATTCACATATGCTGTGTGGCAGTCTGCGGGATATGCATAGTCTCAATGAGATGGAAAATCTTGCACTTCGTCTGCCTATTTTAAACTATTACCACTTAGCGGATAGGCTGATAAAGTGCGGGCAAGCGTTCCATACTGATATTTTATGTTTGGAGTCAAAATATCTTAGCGCCATACTATAGTGTTGGAAGCCGGCAAATAGAGAGTGCGGAATAGCCACGGAACCGATGGAAAGAAAGTCGATCGAATACCATGCATGGGAAGGACTAGTAGGGTAAAACCGGCGAAGCCGATGTTGAACAGCGCAGCGTGGTTCCTTACTAAACCAGGACCGCGTTGATCCGGACAGCAGCCAGCGAACAACACATGCGACTTAGCCAACCTGGTAGACGGCATTGGATACAGTGATACTGATACTGATTAGAAGCAGCGAGTGGAGCATACTCTGTGTAGCTGCATCAATTGTCGCTCTTGGACATTAACCTATTAATTATCGTTCCGCTCTCTATATTTTGCCTCTGCAAAGTGCTTATCTAGAAGCTTCTTAAATTCGGCCACTGAATTCGCCTCTATTACCGGTTGCGGCAGGTTGTTCCAGGTATTCACCACTCTACGTTCGAAACAGAGTTGGTGAGCTACCCGCTTCAACTGCGGTACGATAAGTTTGTACCGGTGTCCTCGCGTGCCGCTTGGTGTGCACAGATGAAGCAGTTGTCTCAACATGGGGTAATCACTCAGATGTAATATCCGGTGCGTCATGATTAGGTCAGCCCTCAGCCGACGATATGCTAGGGTGTACAGCCCTAGTTTCTTACATCCGTCTACATATGGCATACCTCGTAAGTTGGGAATCAGCCTAGTGGCTACATGCTGCACCCGCTCAAGCTTTTCTACCTCGCCCAGCGTGATAGGACAACATGCGGGAGAGCCGTACTCGAGCATTGGTCGTATTATGGAGACGAAGAGGCGAGTGGCAATCTCTTCGGACCAAGTGCTGAAGCTGCACCTGAGTGCCCAAAGCAGCCTATTCGTGTTGTCAATGGACTTTAGGTCGCAGCGTGAGAGCACACCGAGATCGCGCACGAAAGACGCGGGATGCAGCGGTTGATAAGCCACTGTGTACGTTCGGCTGTGCTCGCATTTACCCAACCTCATGAATTGCGATTAACAGGGTTGATCGGAAGGTTAACCTCTGCAGACCATGTTGAGAGGCTGTCGAGATCCTGCTGAAGTAAATCACAATCATTGAGTGTGCGGAAGGGCTGGTGCACGGAAAATTAACTAAAAACCGCCCAAATGCACGAGTTGGATTGTTAAGGCAGAAATAATGCAGCTTCGCGTCTCCAAAAGACGGATGTGTAGCGTGAGCGAAGTCGGCGAAAACAAACAGTGAAAGCGGTGCTTTTAACTCAAAGAAAGAACTAGCCAACCAAACGAGCCATAGTAGTAGCCATGGGTTTGAACTAATGTACCGTGTGTATGAATTGTGTCCATGGATAACAGATAACCTATCGCTGCCAATACTCCGTGTCAATGCTCGGGGGCGCACTGGGCATTAGAAGGTGCAGATAAAGCTAATCCTTTTGATTAAAGCCTCTATCATCCTCCGTACCGTGATATTTGGTAAGTTGCCAAGCGAAAAGCCGTAACGTTGCTTATTTTGAGAAAATCCCGGCCCCTATGGGACTAGTTGCTACAAAAACTAACCCAATCTGTCGTTCGGTCTTATCCTCTCTACATTCGTGCTATGTAGGAGAGTGGGTGATGAAGCTCGCTATATTGTCAAAAAGCACCAGTCATATGTGACTTATTGACTTAGTTTGTTAACTCGCAGGAGTGTGTTTCTAGGTTCTAATCTAGCAAGTTGTTCGAAGGTTAGTTGCTTGTTAGTTTCAATAGAACAGAAATTGTGGTCAGCGCTTCTCCACATTTCTGACAGCCCTCTGACCAAGTTTGATTGCAACAAAACCTTTCAAAGCCACCACAATGCATACTGCGATTTAGGAAAACTTAAACGCTTGTGTTTCACTGGATGTGCGGCATCTTCAAAACGGAAACCGCTGTCTCAGCCTTCGTGGGTGCAATTGAAGTGTATAAGTACTATATCGGGTCCTCCTATTTTGAATGGCCGGTATCCATACAGTATAGCACTGCTTTTACCGCAACTTCCTTAGACCACAGTAAGGGTTGGTTCCTGTGGACAAGTGATAGAATGACCACTCCAAAATTCCTCATTCCTTAATATATGACATCTACTGGCTTCCGTCTCTCGCTGGCACAAATGTGCCGATCCCTCTCAGCTATCGAACACTGAAACAACTGAGATAATGGATTCTGTAGATTTTCGTAATTTGGCAGCTTAATTGCCCAGGTGCAGTGTGGCTTAGAAATCAAGAATCCGGAAGATTATCGTTTCACCGATCGCGTGCCTACTCTCCAAATGCCAATTGCGTTACTGAAGCGAACCATGGATTACAAGCATTAGCCAACCTCACGAGCAAGTCAAAAGCTAGCTTGTCACCCAAACAAGCTGAGGATGCCCATATGTTGTATGCACGCATCCACAACCTAAATCCAATCGTCGACATCCAGCAGGTTGTTCTGTTCGCAGAGGAGGAGGAGGAGTGGGGAGAGTTTAATGATATAGGTATATATGCGTCACATTTCGACTCAATGAGACAGCTCTTACACGCCCGGAAAAGCACTGTACACGCGTTTCATCCTTTCGGGAATCGTCAACAGTGCGCATTCCATCTGACCCTGGCAGGGCTGGAACTCGCAACCTGACTGTTGCCAGTCCAGTGGTTGAGACCACTGAGCTACGGGGGACGGCAACGACCATCGTGAATGAATTACTAGGTGAGACATGGCGCCGCTCACTATCCACTGACTTATACGTTACTGCCGTGCAGGGGACGGGGTAGCCCCCTCATCAAGCGACGAACTGTTCAGTCTGACAGCGCGGCAACATCTTCAATGCGTCGCTTCTTTATACGTGGGTGAAAAGCACGCTAACCTCGAAAGTGACCATTGTTTCATATGACTCGTTTTGTGCGAACTCGTAAGAGTATTTCACTAACGTATTTGTCCGTTCTGTCAACGACTGCGCTAGACTAATAGTAGTAGACACACCAATAAATACAAAATATCGCTAACCGGTTAACCGTTTCATAGTTGCTGCGGTGCCGTCTCACAAAAGTCACAGCGACACATCGGGCATTACAATGCATATATGGATAGAAACCATATCATCCGAGATGATAATATCTTACAGTTAATGGTAATTAGCAGGTAATTCGATCGCAACTACCGTCATCTATAGCCTGATGTACTATCCGCATTTTCAGTGACATTAGGCGAGGAACACCACACACAAAGTGTCTGTATATTCGCTCAGCAAACGCACTACCAACAGTGAAGCAACTACATGAAATATTCCTCAAGATAAAACTAGGCCGAGTAAATGCACAATCGGAGCGGTTTACAAATGTAACAGGGAATGTTTTCTCAAGCAACTCATGAACTAGCATATCACATGATCTCACCGCCCCTGTGGCTCCACTAGCCCAAATCCAATAGCAGCCAAGACTCCACAATGGCTCGTGAGCGACAGTCGTGTTATTCTCCCGACCGGGTGGATTAGTACATCTCAGCTATGAGGAAGCTTAGTGGTACATGGACAGCTACCCGAATTTTACTGAGTGATCCCGCACGCGGGCACACCACGCGCATATGAAAGTTCACCTAGACGATTAAGTGCCTGCAAAGCTGCGTGCATCAACCCCAATTACCGCCCGCACACTATCACACTTAGACACCGCGAAGCCAACTCATACTAAGCGACTTTGACAAACATACCTGCTAGTTTGTTTGGAGCTAACTTCAACATAATCAAAATTTGCTGAGTTTCAGCGTTGAACTCGGCTAGACACCACACACCCCAATGTGCGATCGATCTGCGGCGCGCTCCACGACGCGACAGATGGGTCTGAGTTCAAAGGCCATCCAGCCTTCTACTCTGTGAACTTGTCTAACATGCCAATGGCTGCTTTGGGATTGGTCACTTAACGAACAGTACGCATTTAAGGGCGTTCGCACTCTTTGGATTCAATTTTGTGGTAGCAAAAAACATCTTGGGAGATCTGTGGAGAAACATGATTTCTTTAAGGAGAAATTTACTTCCCCCTATGAATGCAATTGACAGAGAAGGTATTGACATGAACCTGAAATCCGATAACGGGCTTGGGTGTCATTGGTAATCGTTCGCATATGTCCAGCCATAAAAAGTGAACGCACAAACGAAAGGGATCAAAGTCTAACATTACATAAACGCATACTCACTTACACATAAAACAATCAAGTTAAGTGATTATTACAAAAATGTATCATTTCTTTTATTAACTCAGCCCATTTGTACGCAGAGAACA